GCGTCCCTGGGTACGTTACAGATATGAATAGTTATTGCGAGAATATCATATGGAGATAGATTGAGATTGAGATATTTTATTGATAAAATTACAAAAATTTTACAGGTCATACAAAGAATTCATTTTTTCTACATTATTTTCCATAATTATAAGGTATTTATACATCTAACACAGCATTTTGTCTTTTCCTTTATTATACGTATTTGTTTAAAATTTTCATTTTACTTATTTTAATTCAATCTTTACTTAAGTTATTTACATTTTATTTGTTTTAGTAGCAAATGTTATTCTCAATAAAAAAACGATTATATACATATATGACTTCAAACATGACCGTAATATTATGTTAATGTGTGTATATGCATTTACAGTTACATACATATACGTATAGGCATAGAAACAATTAATAATAATTATAAAAATATATTGGTATATATATATATATTATTTACCAATAAAATAGCGGTAAGAACGCATCCGAGGCCGATTTGCGCTTGGCCAATTTTATTCTACATATAGAGAATAACACCACGGTAATGTTATACACATTACCGTGATAAGACTCACAATACACACAGTATCCCCTCCATTTCTAATTCTCGCAACTACACAGAGTTGCGCGTCAACACACGCTATATAAACCGACAGATTACAAATCCTATTCAAAGCAATACAGCCACTCAATATGACCAAAGTCAACAAGAGCAGAACACGATCTTCTCGAGCCGGCCTTCATTTTCCAGTGGGGAGGATTCACAGCATCCTTAGAAAAGGAAACTACGCACCTAGGGTTGGTGGAGGCGCTGCAATATACTTGGCTGCAGTATTAGAATACCTTGCCGCTGAAATTCTGGAACTTGCAGCTGAAGTCGCGAAACAAAACAACAAAACCAGGGTTACACCTCGACATATACTTTTCGCCATTAAAAACGATGAAGAATTGAACAAAATGCTAACCGGTGTTACCATATCTCAAGGTGGTGTATTGCCAGCTATAAATGCTCAACTTCTACCCAAAAAGACAGTGAAAAGACTATAATAGAATGGACTGGATGATACAGAAAATAATTTGAAGATTTTAAATAATATATTTTGATGAAGACCTAATTTATTCTCCTGAAAGACAAAGTCCTTTTCAGGACTGCATATTTACTTAAATATGTTTCATCGACAACGTCTTACTAGTAATTAAATTATACTTTATAATTCTAAAAGAAATACATTTAGCACTTATTAGTTCATTTTTTTATTCTAGAAGCTTAAAATGAAAAATTATAATTGTAAAATACACACATATATGCCTCGGATGAGCATTGAACTTACCTTAAGATTATGAGACTTACGCGCTGCCTACTGCACCATCGAGGCTCTTACTATAAATAGGTTCAATCAAACACACAATTTATGTAAATTAACGTTAACTCTTTATTGTCTACTTATTTTTTTTTTTAATTTAATATGTGTTGACGAGCTTTAGTATGATCAATGAAAAAAAAAAATGGAAACCGTTTTCTTTACATATGTATAGGTCAATTCTATTTATATTTATATTCCTCAAACTTTCAACAATAATTATATTATGACCGAATTTCGAGTACTAAGCGGACACTTGTAGATATAAATTAGATATAGGTAAGCTGTTTTAAATATTACTTTAGTAGGATAAAACAAAAGTAGATAAGTCGGATTGTACTATATTTTGTTATTTTATATTATAATACAGTAATAATTAGATTTAATTTAGCTTTTTTAAACAGTATATATTTTTATAGTTCATACTTCTGTTCATATCTTAGAAGTCAACATTTGTCCGATTGTATACTTTAGAATAATTATAATCAAGCTTGTTTATTTCATTTGTATGTCGGTTTTGTGAAATTATAAATAAATAAACAAATAAATAAATGTGCATAATATTAGTTACATAGTATAAATAAGAAAATATATAAAAAAATCTAGTTCAAAAATGTATAGATATAAAACAAACATTACCAAAATAAATGTAAAATTAAAACATTTTAAACCACTTTAGACGTCTTTCAAGAAACAATAAAATTGCAGCCCTGAAAAGGGCTTTGTCAAAATTCCCATCAGAAGCTCACGCCCTCTCGCCCCTCACCCTCCGCGCCAACTGAATGTCCTTCGGCATGATCGTCACCCTCTTCGCGTGAATCGCACACAAGTTGGTATCCTCGAAGAGACCCACTAAATACGCTTCACTCGCTTCCTGCAAAGCCATCACTGCCGAGCTTTGGAATCTTAAGTCCGTTTTGAAGTCCTGAGCTATTTCTCGAACTAGACGTTGGAAGGGCAGTTTTCGGATGAGGAGCTCCGTACTCTTTTGGTAACGTCTGATTTCTCGTAAAGCAACAGTTCCTGGTCGGTATCTATGCGGTTTCTTCACCCCGCCTGTAGCGGGGGCACTTTTTCGTGCTGCTTTGGTAGCTAACTGCTTTCTAGGCGCCTTGCCGCCGGTGGACTTTCTTGCGGTTTGCTTGGTACGCGCCATGTTGTTGACTGGTTGATGTGTGAGGATTTTGAGCGTATTTATAGTATTTTTTGTGCTTATTTTTGTAAGCTACCCTCGATTTTTTGTAATTAAATCCAAGTATCTTGCTTAATGTTATATTTTATAAACATTATGTCGTTTTAATATATTTTTTTATTACATTTATGTACCTATATACAATATATTTATAGATGACGTGAACGCATGTTTTTTTTAAATTGTAATTGAAAATTATCGAACATAACGTTTCTTTTATATGCAACATTATAAAATTGCATTAGTATATTATGTTATTAAAATTCTATTGACGATTTGGAAAATGGTGTATACTTTTTTTTAAAACCTACTTGGAATGTTAAAATATACTTCCTACGAAAATATCAAATTAAGTAATATTGTCTTATAAAAGTTTACCAAACATAGTATTTATTCTAGAAAATTATAACAAATAAAAAATACCTGTTATCAAAATTCGGTATATTGTCTTTAAAAATATGTACCTACCTATAGTACTTATCTACATCTACACTATTATTATAAATATTATTATTAATATAAATATTGTGTGTTTGATTGAACCTATTTATAGTAATATATTAGCTGCCTCGGTGGTGTAGTGGCTAGCATGTACAGCTGCACACCCGGAGGTCCTGGGTTCGAGTCCCGGGTCGGGCCAAGTTTAGTTATTGAGTTTTTCTGTATAGTAAGCCTCAGTAACAGCCCGGAGTTGGGAAGTTGGCGGTGTTTCACCCCCGTGCCTCGGAGAGCACGTAAAGCCGTCGGTCCTGCAGCCTTAACTCTCACTGGTCGTGTCTCGCGTCGTCCCACCGGAGTATGAGAGTGACAGGAATAGAGAGTGCACGTTGTGTCTGCGCGTACACTTGTGCACTATAATATCTCCTGCGCAGTTGGCTAGTCTCAATGAGATTGGCCGCCGTGGCCGGAATCGGTCAGGAGGAGAACACACAACATTATTATAAAGAGGAAAGATTTGTATTTTTGTATGTTTGTAACAAATAAACTCGAAAAATACTGGACCGATTCAAATGAAATTTGGTAAAAAGATAGTTTGAGACCCTGGAGAGGACATAGGATTTTTTTTAATCCGGAAATCATCCCTTAAGGGGGTGAAAATGGGGATGAAAGTTGGTAAGGGGATTCAAACTAGGGACGATCCCGAACGAAGCGAGTGTGAGTCGCTAGTACAAAATAATTAGATTTTATATCATTAGCCTCATTTATATTGGAATTTAAGTATATCATTATATAATTATTAGACAATAAGAACTACTACTACTAAGAAGTTACACAATTCGAATGTACATATTATATGTATATCGGTATTGAATGTATGGTATTTAATATATGAAGTTTAGCCAATTGAACTAAAGTACAAGTAAGGTGGAAAACACACTTCTTTGAAAATATAAACGTTAACTTTCAAAAAAATCATCTATGTAAATACATAATTGCATATATAAATACGTAAGGACAGATCAGTACCTTTTTCTCCTCTGTTTTTCAACCGATTTTCTATATTTTTTTTTGTTTTTTATTCTTTTATACGAGCTATAGTGTTATCAATTATCAACTGCCTCGGTGGTGTAGTGGCTAGCATGTACGGCTGCACACCCGGAGGTCCTGCGTTCGAGTCCCGGGTCGGGCCAAGTTTAGTTATTGAGTCTTTCTTTATATTAAGCCTCAGTAACAGTCCGGAGTTGAGAAGTTGGCGGTGTTTCACCCCCGTGCCTCGGAGAGCACTTAAAGCCGTCGGTCCTGCGCCTTAACTCTTACCGGTCGTGTCGAGTAGTCGTCCCAGCGGAGTATGAGAGTGACAGGAATAGAGAGTGCACTTGTGTCTGCGCGTACACTTGTGTACTATAATATCTCCTGCGCAGTTGGCTAGTCTCAATGAGATTGGCCGCCGTGGCCGGAATCGGTCAGGAGAACATAATAATATCAATTATCAATAAAAAAATGATTATAGTCGAATTTTTGCCAACGAGCGAACATTAGTATTAATACATATGTACATACATACTCGTACGTACGTCGAGAGAAAACTTTGCACCTCTTTTGAAGCATATAACGCATATGATCTTTGGCTTAGTTACGAGTACTAATACATGGAATAAGTAGGACGATAGAAAGCTAACGTTTAATGACATGGTTTCGCCCACAGCTCCACTCGCTCGCTTTTTAAAACTAGCCCGTGATGTTAGATAGCTAATAACATTTAATTTTATACTAATATATAAAGCTGTAGAATTTGTAAGTTGGTCTGCCTTTTATAGTCACCGCATTATGATTGGGTCATTTTTGCCATCTCTTTCAATATGCTACAGTTGTGCGTCTATCAAAATCAAGTTAAGGTTCTCTTTAAAGGAAAAAAAATCAGAAACTAAGAAGAGAGTATCCACAACAGTACAAAAGAAAACCAGCGAAGAGAATACTTATTAAACAGTGTATAAAAATAATAGTTGTGAACAAAATGGTACCAAAAAAACCAATGCCAAAGACCAAGAAGGACATAATAGAGAAACCGATAACGAAAACGAGGAAGATGAAGAAGAAGAATTATAAAAGTTTTTCCATCTACTTGTATAAGCTACTTCGAAGTGTTACTAAGGATACTTTCGGTATTTCTACACAGTCTATGTTAATTATGAACAATTTTGTTAATGATATGATGGAAAAAATAGCAGTGGAAGCTGGAAGGTTGGTGGCTCACGGAAAGAAGACGACCATGGGGAGTAGAGAGATACAGACCGCGACAAAACTCTTAATCCCGGGCGAATTGGCAAAACATGCAAATATAGAAGCTATGAAAGCCATAATGATGTTTCAGAGAAGCCAAGACCAAGACGATTCTTCAAAATGAGGATTAAATTTATTAATTTAATTATTTATTATTGATTTTATTTAAAAAGGCCCTTTTCAGGGCCAACATTTTTTTTTTGTTAAGCTTGCGAGACGTCTTTTTATTATTAACCAACTGCCAAAAAGGAGGAGGTTCTCAATTCGTCGGAATCTTTTTTTTTATGTGTGCTCACCGATTATTCGTGCATGAACCGATTTGAAAATTTTTTTTTCCAAGGGTTATACTTCCCAGGTGATCCCATATAAATTTTATCGATATCGGTCGAGTGGTTTTAAAAAAAAACAATAATATTTTTTTTTTAAATAAATTGTTTAATCGAATATGTTATTGAAAAACTTTCTTCTTATAAAACTACCTGCTTATACTTTCTACACTAAAAATGGAAATTTAAAAACTTAAAAAAACCGATTTCCAGGCATGAAAAAGTAAAAAATAACTATACTGGGGTTTTCATTTAGAATAGATACCTAATCAGATATTTTCGAAGTCGGTGCCAGCCTTAGAGAATATATAAAAATAAAATCACATAAATAAAATAAAATTTAAAAGAAGCTCTGTAAAAAATTACTATTTTGTTTGATTTGTTCATTTAAAAAAATACGATGTTGTTTGATTTGTTCCTTAAAAAAAAACTAAAAGAAAAACTGATTTAAGTAGTTATTAATTCTAGGAAAGTAGACATGGATATAGGTACATGTATGATTTATTTACTTAATAAAAGTTTTTAAAGATTCGAAACTATTACATACTAGCATTGCCCGCGGCTCCGCCCGCGTTCAGATGACCAAAAACCAAATTCTTAGGTTTTACACATTAGTTTACTCTTACTATGCAGTTTTTGAATTTTTCTCAGAAATGAGATATTTTACCGCGGTAAAAACTCCTATATGTTGACCCGGATAACCAGCTATTATCATACCAAATTTCATCAAAATCTGTCCAGTGGTTTTCTCGTGATGCGGTAACAGACAGACAGACAAAAATTTCAAAAACTATAGATTCGGACTCTGCATCGATAATAATGTCTATTTCAATAAGATTTTCCAAAAAATATTTAATGTACAGATTCGACTTGGTTACAATTTTATTATATGTATAGATTTCGTGTCTGCATCTAGTTATCTTATATTCTCTACCCGATAAAATTTTATGATCACGTTACAAAGGTAAACGTTCTTAGAAAAGACCATTGTTTTAGTCCATCCGCCTGTAAATGTTCTACGTATGGACAAACGCTGTTTAGGTCTCATTTAAGGTATTGCTTTTATTACCTGGGAGAGAAAGTACTTAAGCAATGGTTTCACATTAGAGGTTTTGCGCAATTTCTCTTTGAATCCTTTAAATACGTTCCAGGTATATTCGTTTCTTTTCTATACTAACGACTAGCGATCTTTATTTCTTTTTGGCTCACTCTCGCTTCGCTCGGGTTCGTTCGTTTCTAGAATAACAAAAACATATCTATCCCACGGGAACTGTACATTTTCCGGGATAAATAGTAGCCTATGTGTTATTCTGATGTATGAGCTAATTATTGTAAGGTTTCAGTAAAATCCATATAGTAGTTTTTGCGTGAAAGAGTAACAAACATCCATACATTTATACATCCAGACACCCATACATCTTCACAAACTTTCGTATTATATAATATTATAAATTATAATATTAGTAAGAACAAAGAAGAAAATATATAATATTAGTAGGAAGTTATGAAATACATTTTAGCCTAACACCTGCCTACGTAAAGATCTTGTGATCTATAAGAGTACTACTCACTGAACTGGAACAACTAGGGATATGTCTGGTATATTTTATTTATCTACTTTAATAAGGTTTGCTAGTGGTTATTACATATGTTACAAAAATGATTTAAGTTCAATAATTAAAATACAGCTCAATTATGCAAAACCCATGAATATGCTATAATATCTATACTAATATTACCTATAAATGTCAAAGTGTGTCTGTGTGTATGTTTGTTTGTTTGTTTGTTTGTTTGTTTGTTTGTTTGTTTCTTTATTTGTCTTTCTTTCACATCGAAACGGATTGACGGATTGGAGTGATTTTTCGTGTGAAGATAATTGGAGGGCTGGAGAGTGACATAGGCTACTTTTTATCGCGGGAGATTATCTCATTCCCACGGAAAAACACATTATAATGCAACCCAAAAAATAATTTATGATAAGAATTATTTGAAACTTGGTATTAATACTCTTCAATACAATTAAATACGTATTTTAGCATTTAGCGATATTTATTTCATACGGGGGTAAAATAGGTGATGAAAGTTTGTATGGAACCTAACTTTTTATTTTATTTTAGTAATTTTATCGCGAAGCCGCGGGTTTTGCTAGTAATAACATCAATAAACCACCCAAAGTATTTTTCACATTATGCATTTGTATTTAGAAAAATAAAATTCCATACTAGCATTTTTATACAAAGAAACAAACTTAAATAGAACTCAGTTGCTATATCTAGGCATAACACTTTTCATACGCTCGTATTCGCTTCGATATCGTATTCCGAATACGATACATACAGTACACGTAAAATATTAAGATTGATTCAATTGAAAAGATGCTCCGCTGGTTTCAAGGAACGGTACCTTTTATTCAATTTATAGCCCACAATGGAGAGATTCTAAGGAATTATAGACTCTAAAGGCAGCTCTGCTCTTACTCAAGTGTTTTGCTAACACTTTACTTATTTGCAACTGCCTCGGTGGTATTGTGGCTAGCATATACGGCTGCACAGACGGAGATCCTGGGTTCGAGTCCCGGGTCGGGCCAAGTTTAGTTATTGAGTCTTTCTGTATAGTAAGCCCCAGTAACAGCCTGGAGTTGGGAAGTTGGTGGTTACCAACAGTCTAACCCCCGTGCCTCCGAGAGCACGTAAAGCCGTCGGTCTTCGGCGCTTTAACTCTCACTGGTCGTGTCGAGCAGTCGTCCCACCGGAGTATGAGAGTGACAGGAATAGAAAATGCACGTTGTGTCTGCGCGTACACTTGAGCACTATAATATCTCCTGCGCAGTTGGCTAGTCTCAATAAGATTGGTCGCCGTGGCCGGAGTCGGTCAGGAGAACATTCTTTATTTGTAAAGTATAACTTCTTATAGTATTTAATGTTGTGACAGACTGATTCATCTACCTAGACCAAATAGCTAGACCTAGACGAGTAACATTTTCATACTAAGTTCTTACAATGATAAGTATGTATAAAAGCATTAAGCGTTGCTTGATATTAAAATACTAAAGTATCACAATGAGGGCAAAACGTATGCAAAAACAAATGGTTTTGTTTCGTTATACAAAAGTTACTTAAATAATATTAAATTTTAAACAAAAAATTGTCCAAGTTGGGTCAGTTGCTAGTATGTTTGTAGCTTATATATTTATTGTGTCGAAAGATTTGTATCTATGTTTCTATATTAAAAAAAAACATAATATTGAGTACATTTTTTTAATTTAGAGACACATATTTTTACTTATAAAAGAAATTGTAACTGGCTTAAATTAAATATAGAGTAAATGAGCTTCCAAACATTATAAAACCACAAAAACTATCATTTGTAGTATCGTGCGTTATACTGCAGTTAAAAATTGGTTAGTATATATTTCGTAGTAATAAAAAAATATTGTTTTATATTATTGTAATTTTGTGGGTAGATTCCGTCTGTAACAATCTATGCCCGGAGATATGTTTGCTGTAAAGCATTCGAAACGTCGGGAGCAACGCTGTTAAACCAGCGTTAAGTGCATTTTATGCATTTTATAACTTTAACCTTTACAGATATCTTAAAAAATTGTGGTGCGTTAAAAATATGTAGGTACCTACTACTGCCACGAACAATATTAGAATATAGGCCATATTATTCCCTTTTGTCAGGATATGTAAACTAGTGTTCTCCCATTGATCAAAATCCGACTATAATCGTTATTGACAATTTATAAATAACTAGCGACTCACCCTCGCTTCGCTCGGGTTCGTCCCTAGCTTGCTTCCCCATAAAAAAATATCCCCATTTTCACCCCATTAAGGGACGATTTCCGTGATAAAAACTACGATTACGATACGATACGATAAACCTATGTTATTCCCAGGGTTTCAAACTATCTTTTTACCAAACTTCATCTAAACCGGTTCAGTACATTCTGATTAAATTTAGTTATTAACTGATTATCCGGGTCAACATATAGTATACTTTTTACTGCGGGAAAATATCTCATCTCTGAGAAATCTATTTTAAACGTCAAAACTTAACTAATAAAAAACTATAAAAAAAAGTAATTCATATAATAAGTATATAACTTCTATTACCTACCTATTTCCTTCCTTTCCTATTACCTGAATAAAAAGTAACCTACGTCACTTCATGATTATATATATCGTCTACTCGCTTGAGGAAATCTCGTTAATTTCAATTACGCCATTCTTCTTCTGGCGTGAATGCCCTTTTTTCCAGTGATAAGTCTCATAAAATAGGTTCAGACGTTTAGGGAACTAAATGAGTGAGGGAGACAGACTAAAATTAAATGCATCGATATATGTACAGACAGACTAACATACATTTTTGGGGTTGTTGTTTGGGCTTTCTCTCTCGTATATATACATGTAGCACGTAGCAACTAGCAAGACCAGCAGCAAGGATAAAACATACCATTGTACATCAAACATACATACATACGAGTATATCTCCAACTGCGTAATACTATTTCCTTGCATTAGCTTCTTTAAAGTTCATTTTTAACGTAGTCGCGTTTTTTTATGTTTATAATTTAATTTTTTGATAATGATTTGCTGCGAGTTATATGTACTTATTATATTACAAAAAAAAATTTTTATTACAGAAAGATTTTTACTAACTATGTAAGTACTTTGAAAGTAGTCGGGAGAGGATTTTAAACTTGTTTTTAAATTTCAATAGATGTAAAGAGAGTGCATTTCTTCCAAGTAGGTATAATTCATTGCAATTTATATTTCAAGCTCATTCACTTTTG